TTAGACGTCAAAGTTTCAATTGAAGGTAACGGTTTATGCACTAGTGTGTATTACAAACCTACAGACTCGCATAATTACTTGTTATATTCGTCTTCTCATCCATCTCACGTTAAGAATTCCATTCCTTTTTCTCAGTTTCTAAGACTTCGTCGTTTATGTAGTAATGACTCTGATTTTCACCACAAATCAGAGTCAATGTGCCAGTTCTTCGATAAACGTGGTTACCCTGTTTCCGTCGTTCAAGCGGGTTACCACCGCGCTCAACTTATTGATCGACATTCAGCACTACAAACGTCGCATAAGGAAGATTCCGACCGCATTCCATTCACTCTCACGTTTCACCCTCACAACCACTCAGTTAAATCCATCATTCTTAAAAACTTTAAATTACTTCAAAACGATCCAGAGACAAGCACTATCTTTTCGCAGCCTCCGCTCATTTCATTCAAACGCGACAAAAACATAGGCAACTTTTTGGTCAGAAGTTCTTTACAGACTAATGACCAACCAGGCACTTTTAAATGCACTCGTGCACGATGCAAAACGTGTCCTTTCGTTCACAACACTGAGAAAATATCGGGACCCAAACGATCCATTAAGATCACCGATCACTTCACGTGCACCTCCGCCGATGTAATCTAAAAACTTGCGCTTATTGCAAAAAGATTTACATCGGCGAAACAGGCTGAAGACTAGGTGACCGATTCCGAGAACACCTTCGCGACGTGGAAAGGAATGAAAGGGACACATCGAAACCAGTCGCTAAACATTTTAATTTACTTAATCATTCTCAGCAACATATGGCAATCTGCGGTCTTTCCTTACACTTAGGTAGCACGGAAAGCCGTACAACTCTTAAACAAAAGCTCATCTTTCAAACCGGCAGTCTAAATCCCACAGGTATCAACGAACGCTTTTTATTTGTGTGTTTCTTGTGTCCATGTTCCCACCAATAACGTAGCTCCATTTTCTGCCTTTAAAAGCATACACAACCCACGATTCCTCTATTCGCTCCGACGAAGGACTAACGCTCGAAACGTCAGCTTTTATAATCGTAACGGTGGCCAATTTACCGTTTTAACTTTGTTGATATATTCAAATTATTTCGTTACCCCTACCGACGCAGCCCCAAACAGTTTCTTCAGAAACTATCAGTCTTTATTCAGATATATTATGTTTCTCAATGTAAGTCTTGGAACGCGCAGGTAGATGATTACTGCGTAAACTATGTCACCATCAACAGAATGTGATGCAGAATTTTCATCTTTTAGATACCCTTATTATAGAACCATAATAACCTTCAAAGTGTGTGACAAGTATAACAGCCATGAAGCACAATCCTGCTATTTTGATCCTTGTTCAAGTCATGGCAATATGTCTACAAACAAAGCGTGTGACTGAAGCTGCAGTGGTCAACAATTGTACCATTCGTGTCCATTCCACTGCATCCTGTGACAAAATCACCTACGAACAAGTCTATGACATCTTGACAAAGTCAGAAAACAGTTTCAACATTGAGTCAGCTCTGTATCCACCCAAGAGGCCCTCTTCAGTTCGTGTGTTTGTAAATGTCTATGGCCCTACTGAAACGCAACTTTCGACTCCAGCCGCCAAGTACACCTGGAGCATATCTAGCCTTTATGCTGCTATTCCTGCGACAGTCCTTGAATTTTGGTCTTTAGGGGCAATCCAGGTGACCAGGCGTACTCAGAAGCTTGATATAACAATTTCAATTACCTGCTGTGATGTGAGGAAAGGGATATTAAAGAAGCACATCGAGGATGCTCTAGCTGCTGTAAGTACCTTTGATACTTTGAATTAAAGATCACCAGCAATACTTACCGCATGAAAGTACAAATCCAGACGAATATAACAAACCCATTTGTGAATGAAAACAACACAGCATAACCTGAAAAATTTTCAGCCTTGAAATTGGATACATTCAATTGGCCGGATCTCTGGTAAAATATATGTTTGCTGAACAGATTTTCTCAGCACCATGGTACTTTGTTATGCTAGCCGGATTCTAAGTTACTTGGCGGGAATTTTAAGTGCAGTAATATAATGTAGGGCTTGGAGAGGGCCCAAAACACAATTTCAAAAATCTCAACCAGCCTTTAGAACGAAATTTTATGGGCTTTAACATTTGCAAGTTGTGCCAATTGTTTTTGATGTGAAGAAATAATTTACTGCATAGTTTACGAAGAAAAAAAAGATACCTCAAAAATTAACTTTAAAAAAACCTCAAGCGAGTAGGGACGGAGTGCTTGAATAGAAATGTCAAAAATTGGTTCCCAACAGACATTTTAGTCTTCTTTACCCTTACAACGCTCGTAAAGTGAAAAATCTGGCCAACTTAATGTGCAAAATATAACTGCCACAAATTTTAATGACCAGTTTATGATGATCGTAATTTTTTGTATTCCTAAACCATTGACAATTGAGGTGTTACTCTGTATTTCATCTCTATCTGTCAAGGACTACAAACCACCTCATTACTGAAAACAAATTTTACTGGTCAGATATTCATGAGACCAAGAGATTGGTTGACATCCATCAAACAAGTGTGCTCCATTACCATAGAATATTCTTCTCAGCCTGCCTTTAAAATGTATTTATAAAAATTAATTTCTCCTGTTGTCTTGTAAAGATTTCTTAAAAGTCACTGTTCGTAAATTACTGTTATATTTAAATGAGATTGAAAATGGACTTTAGACACTGCCATTTAGATCACAACTCGACAACCTAGCCTAACTCATACTTATGTCTCAGAATTTGTAGTTTCGGCAAAGGTAGTTTGAGTCAAGAATGCATTTTTTAGTAGCTCCTAGTTGTTCAAACAAGTCATCAATTGAAGGAAAGAGGAGGATTGAGCCTTTGTGATTTCAGCTTTTGGTGGCGAAGTTGCAGTAAACAAATTCAGAATCGGATTTTGTTACATATAAACATTTTTGAACTACTGTTCAGAATCTCAAAACATGGTCATGGTCATTGTTTCTAGAGAGCAACTCTATTACTTCCAAGATTTCATTGAATCTTCTGTAAGGGTTAGACCTGTACAGCACAATTTAGACCTTTCAAGTAGAGTTTTGGATCGCAAAACGAGTGACTAAATGTGCTGACTTGAATGCAAATTTATAGAATTGGCTCAGTTTTGACTTGGTAGTAATCATTACCAACAAGGTCTTACTGTGTTTTCCTTTTAAAATTGGCCATGATATATTTGTTTTATGTCTGATAATTAATTACCGTAGACAATGACGTATAAGTCCGACCTTTTTCCCAAACAAAAATTTTCGTAACAAATCAAAGGTGCGGCGTATCAGCGAGAGCATCTGGAAAACGTGCAGCAAATTGGCATAGATTAACATTATTCATGGGAAATTTACAAGTCTATTGCAAAAAAACAAGAACTTCATAAAAATACAAGGATAGAAATTGATCATTGCTCTTGCAAGTTTGGAGACTCCTAAAAGAGCCGCACTTGTTTATGAGCTGGCATATGGTTAGATTTCTTGGGTGGCCTTAAACCTTCTTCATTAAGATACCTTTTAACCAGTTTAAGGTCACCTTAGCTTCTCTGATTGACCAATGTAACGTTACCTGACAAGGATCCTTGCCTTTTACAGCCGTGCAAAAGGTGCCTTACTCTGGTATTGGTTGAACAAAACGTAAGACCAAACGTAAGACCAAACGTAGACCTCAGTATAAAAAGTCGGTATATATGTTGTCCATACCATTAGCGCAAACAGTGACAGGTAAGGGTTCAAAGTATTCTCTGTTTTCAACGTAAGTGACTTTATGAAGCAACCAAAAGAGAGCAACTTTCTTAGACTCCACTTGCGATTTCTTTTGATTCCTTTTCAAAAACTTGTTTTTCTAAAACTTGTTTTCCAAAATTTGAGTTGACAAACTCTTGGTGTGGCTTATCTGTGAATGCGGCTTATATGCTGGTGGTTATGGTAATCATTCCCTTTGTTCTGTTGTACAGCTTGAAGATTTGGCCGTTAAACCAACTTTAAGGGACCCACGACTGAATTCTGCCGAGTGTGTTATGGAAGAACATCAGTCGGACGTTATGGCAACGGGACACAGTGCTCGGATTGTAGTGGTGTTAGTCTGTTCCTCTATCTTTTCAGTACTGAGTGGACCAGTTTTGGCCTTCTTTGCATGGCAATATCGGGAGACCCAGAGAGAAATTGAGCAGAAGACCATGGATTTTGTTTGTTTTTTTTTTTCAACTGTATTATTCCTTGTAAACATAGTTAATGTGATATTGGTTCTTTCGATTGAAAAAGAAAATTGTATCCTGGTAATACAACTAGCTATTCTCTCTCTAGGTATCGTGTTCTTTGCTGTCACATGTTGCTACAGTCATGGTAAATGTTTTCAATGTTTTAAATGTTGTAAATGTTTTAAATGTATTGGCCTCGAATGCAACGACTTTAAGTTATTCCTTTATATCGTGTTTGCAAACTTTGTAGCTTACCATTTTTGTTGGCTTATAGTTGGTATCATGCTCAATCCGATTTGGGGTCTTTTTGTTTTGCTTGGAATTTGCCTTTTTGTTGGTGTCTTTTCATACTCTGTCTATCAGTACTATTGTTCCACAAATCAGTCTTCAGGCCCTGAGAATGAAAATGACGATGGCATTACTACTGATACTAATACTAATCAGTCTTCAGGCCCTGGGAATGGTAATGGCAATGGTAATACTACTAATACTAATACTAACGATGTTCCCGTCATTTCGCGGTGCCAGTCTTTTTACTGGAGTTTTTCTTGCGTTTTTGCCACTCTTTGTCTTTTGATTGTGACGGTCCTTACTGGGCAGTCGTATAATGAGAAGGAAACTGCCGATCAATTTTTAAAGGATATACTTGGGTATTTAATTCCTGTTTTTTTTGGCTGGGTTTGTTGGAAGAATCGTAATATGAAAAGTGTTACAACTACCACAAGTTCCCAGCCAAATCCTGATGGAAATCCATCAACTTATGTTCTTCTCGGACAAATTCAAGAAGCGGACTAAATGAAGGCAGTGATCGATTCAAAGTGGCGAATACTTTGTATTTATTGACTGACTGAAAGGCTGAAACGAGAAAATTGTAAGGTCCTTTCTCCATGAATACGTTTTTCCTTTCTGTCTGACAAAACTCAATCTAAAAGTACTTTATCACATGACCACCAAGTCTTCATGTAAAACTTGAGTTATATTTGAGCCTACATTCAAAGTGTGTGCGCTGGACAACTATGAAAAAAGTCTACAAACCAATTTAAAGTTTTGAAACATGAATATTTACGGCATCACCCACCGCTATCCTAAAGGAAAACGTTCTGAAAGCTGAGGTGTATTTTGCCGGACACGTTGTTTTAAACAGGTCCGGAAAAAGCGGCCCGGCTTGCAATCTCGGGGCTCTTTTACATTTCCAAGAAACCGAATCCAAGTTGTGGTCTTCAACTTAGGATGAAATAATATTGAGAAAGTAATTCATGTTTTTTATGAAGTGTGCGGTCCTTTTTTCAACCTTGCGAAATAAGGGGAAGTTTTCCCTTTTAGGATGTTTTTTGACGGTGCCCAGGACGAGCCCTTCATATGTATGTATTTGTGCCTTTTTTTTAATTCAAACACAAATTCATAACTTTGAAAACTCAGAGGTCATGTGGGAAAAAATTCACTATTCTTAAGAAGAGTCTAAAAGTCGAAGATCGTCACTTGAAGTCAGCAAACTTTCTTTTCTTTTTCCAGCCAAATTTCGGTGAATCAAAGCTAATTTCGTTGCTTGAAAGAGCTACACGTTCATTAATTTGTTTTTCAAATCGAGTATTTTTAGCATATTCACTTTTCGCTTTGAGTTCCAAGAGGTCGATCTCAGTCGGGATGGAACAGAAAACGATCTCAAACGTTTTAAAACCTCACGGCCAAACTGGTTGGGAACTGAAGTGAAACTCCGCGCTCCATGTTCTATTGACACGGCCTCACGTTTATGAAATCGATAGCCTCCATATGGCGCTAAAGTATTCTCAGATATTTATCTGCGCATAATTAACTGTTGCCGGATGCGAACAGTTTTCTGAAAGCAAACCTCGAGGAAAACGGTGAGCTACAACAGAATAGATAGTTTAGGATGTAGCGCAGGTTTTCGATCTTTTTCTTTGTTTAGCAGATGTTCTTTCCATTTGCGTTCTCTCAGTTGTGGTGATTCGTACTCGGCACTTACTTCGTGAAATAACTTTTTGATAAAGAATTTTACCAGATGCCGGTTGAAAAGTTTAGTCACCTTTTAAGTGTAGTGCACAACTATCAAGTTTTATCTTATGGTCTTATAGTTCTCTAACAGGTTAGAAATTTTAAAAATTGTTTTTATGTAGGATAGGATTTATAGGAGACAGAAATAATATTCCAGAAAGCAATCGCAACTGTAGTGACTTTGCTTAATTGGGAACATTATGACTGAATCTCATAAGAGACGAAATGACTATCATCATTCCACATCAATTGTCTTAAAGTGTAAGTGTACAGAGGATTATTGCTTACAAACCCGCTACATGAAGATGAAGATATAACGTAACAACTTAGTATTTCTGTGGAATAGTTTCACAAAATTGTGTAATCATTACGACATTTGTTTCGGACAGTCACTTGATTGACGGTACTTTCTATGTTGTTTCGTCGCTATATAAATATACTATTATAGGCAATATTACAACTGCATTATTTTAGTAGTATAATTAGGTAAATATTTAGACCTTCTCGATTAGTGTCTGCTATCTGTAATTTTTTATGATTAAAATGCCAAAAAAAAAAGTTTCGTGTTTGTGTTGACCTTTTTCGCCTGCTTTGTTGTTTCGTCGTTTCAGCGTAACAAACAAGAATATCACACAGCCATACATGTTTCAAATATTTTTGATCAAACATTAGTATTTTATTTTATTTTACTTAGCCTCGCCAACCGGCAGGGACACCGCAACAGCTTTCGCCGATTATAAAAGCTGACGTTTCTAGCGTTAGCCCTTCGAAGGGCTAACGCTAGAAACGTCAGCTTTTATAGAAACGTCAGCTTTTATAGTTAGAAACGTCAGCTTTTATAATCGTAGCGGTGGCCAATTTACCATTTCAACTTTGTTGATATAGTCAAATTATTTACGTGATCAAACCACGTATATCGGATATCACTAAAAAGGAGAATGGGAAATAAGAAATTGAAGCAGGAAAACTGAAAATGGGGAATTCTTAATGAAAGATTATTGATTGTCAATATTACATCAGAACTTAAAATATGTTGTTCACTTGGGATAGATTGGTGAATACTTTCAATGAACTACTGAGGTTCGGAAAAGAATGTGAAGATTTATCTTGTTTTCAAGACCGTAAGGGGATCAAAGGATGAAATATTCATAATACGCGTAGGCGAGTCAAACTAAAAGCTTCGAAGTACTTTGGATATATCAACAAAGTTGAAATGGTAAATTGGCCACCG